ATTTTTCCAGGAACTGAGGTTAGACTAACAGTTCTGTAGTTCCTTGGGTCTTCCCTCATGCCCTTTTTGTAGATTGGAATAACATTGTCTAGCTTCCAGTCAGTAAGGAGCCCCAGACTCCCAAGACTTATGGTAGATGATGGAGAGGGGTCCTGCCGTAAGATCTGCTAGCTCTTTCATACTCTGGGATGAATCCCATCATGTCCCGTGGACTTGTGAACATTCAGCTGGTCCAGCTGATCTCTTACAAGAGAACAATCTTTGGAAGATGGCTAAGGTGTTGATGTTGTGGTCAAGATCATTTGGTCTTGTAAAAGGTATCTGAATTTAAGGTTGTGATAACTGACCTTGGCTTAGTTCAAAAGTTGATTTGGGATTTGCAGAAGTAGAGGAGGAAAGGAGTGCAATTGGCAAGACCTAAGGGCAAAGGAAATGACAGCCTTTAAATTATCCACCTTTCAAAACCTGGAAATGAGAGCAGGATTCCTAAATCTCGGCACTCAGTTCTTCTCAGCAAACAGACCAGATGTTTTTGTCTGCTCCTGCTGGTGTCTCACAACTGTGCCTCTACTGGGACATGCAGAAAGGTTTCCTGGGTCCCAGGTTCAGTTGCGTCTTGGCCCAATGCTAAGATGTAGTCTTTCCTTGCCTCTGTCTCCCCCTTGCTCCTGGCAGCACTGGCATGCAAGCCAAAGTGGGGCCATAATGTTTTCTCACACATGCCCTGGTGTGGGTGGCTGAAGGACCAGGACTGATGACTGCACTCTGAAGAGTGTCTTGTAGAAGACACAGCAGATAGAAGCCTTCTATGGGTATCTCCTACTCTGTTATTCCAAGTTATAAGGATTTTGCTGTCATCCAATATTCAGACCGTGATGATGTTGTAAAGTGTGTGTCTGTATGATTGCACACGAGAAATTACTTTCATTCTACTTGCTTTTAAATTAGGAAATCTCTTTTCAAATAGCATTAAGATTTTAAATTTAAAAGATCAAATGTTGTGAATAAGCCAGGAGTCTTGCAGGAAATATGGTCTACTGGTATCAATATGTAAAACAGGGGCAAGTCCATGGCTACACAGATAAAAACATAATTCTGTCAATCTCTGAAATTAGGAATATTTGTTTTCTTAACTTTCTTCATCCTTTTAAACTTGGTATTAGTCTGACGGCAACTAAGTTGGAATGTTGTACTTTGATGTCTTACACAATTTTTATACTTTTCTCTTTGCTTACCCTTAATTACATTTTTTCTATTTATGTATTAAATTTTGTTTTGATTCAAAGGAAATGTTACCAAATATGAAAAATATTGGCAAAGCTAAGTATGCTTTCCATTCAAAATACCGAAGTAGAATATACTCCCATCCATAATTTGTCTGAAAATGTACAGAAAGCAGCAATTTTCTTATCAATATGTTACTTATGCAGAAGTTGCTGCTTTTGAAGGTTGCAAAAAAAGGGCTCTGAATGTTTTAGGGTGCAAAACTCGCTGCTTTAAGAAACATGTTTTACTTTTGGATTTTGCATGTAAATAACTAATGAAACATTCATTTTATTGATGTATGACTGACCTTTTATTTCCTCAGCCGTCATGTACGTAATGGGAGCACTTGGTCCTGCAGCTGGATACTTGCTAGGAGGACTTCTTATTGGTTTCTATGTTGATCCTAGGGCAACTGTTTATATTGACCAGAGTGATCCCCGATTCATTGGAAACTGGTAAGGATCAAGCATTTTTCAAAACTGCTCTCTAAATTGCCAGTAGGGAATTGAGACAGGCTAGGAAATCATATCCTTTGAGGGCTTGTTTAAGGTTGTAGAAGGTTTCTGTTGATGACTACATGCTAGCCTGTGACAGAGAGGAAATGTTTGTCACAGAAGCATGCAGGCACAGTGCGTGGAAAACCTTCTACTTTTGGCTGCTGCAGGACTTTCTCTGATCACTGTGGGCACTGACTGGCAGTGCCTAGCACGGGAGTGGCAAGACAGGATATTGGTATTGCAGGAGGCCATTGAGGATCACTGCTGCCCAGGGCTGAGCCCTTCCTGCTGGAAGTTGAATTAATCCCTTCTTTGGTTTTCCAGAGCAGGCAGCATGAAACACTGAGCTCTGCTGCCCAGATGAGGAGTGATAGACTTCATTTACCCTAGTAAGATTGGATAGGGTCAGAACATGGCCTTCCCAGCCTTGTTTCTCAGGGTGATGGCTTGTGTTTAGGCAGCAGATGATGTAAATCGTCACATGATTCTCTAGTAAATAGTAGGCTTCCAGCAGCACTGAGATAAAATAGCCATAATCGTTAGCTTAAGTCTTTGGACAGCCTTTGAGGTGTGGCCTCCTTCAAAATGTCTTGTTGAGGAAGCGGGTCTTGAGGAGGCTTTAACTGCCTTTTCTCAGATAATTGGTAAATCTGCCTTGAAGTTTTCGTGCAAGTCCAGAAAAGACTTAAGTTCATTATTCCAAGAGGATACCTCTACTTTGTAGGTGTAGGGTGCAGTGTCATTTCTGGTGCACTGCGTTAGTGTTTGTCACTATGCTATTGCAGTCAGAACATATCTGTTTCTGTTTATCCTGCAGTGGTATGTCCTGACTGGTTGATGTGAAAAATTCTGTCTTTGGAGTGTTCTTAAACCTATGAAGATTTAGTTCTGCTTTATTTGTCTTACTTAGTCCAAGAGCATTGCTGGACAGGATTGTGTAGCCGAATTTTTAGCGAGACTAAGGCAAACCTGAGTGCTCAGTTAACCAGTGACCTTGGGGTTAACGGCTCTGTGCTCTCATGTGTACACCGACTTATCTCACAGAAAAGGTTTGTCCTGTGAATGTGCTGCAGTGTCAAAAATGTGCTTTGACTATTCTTGAATAAAAGATTTGAAATCAAAGCGAAATTTTATACATTCTTCATAAAAACTCTTACATTTCATGTGTTTTTAAGGACATCAGAACTGGTAATCAGTATCTGATCAGTACTTTTCAACAGATATTGTGAACAGGCCCATAAATATATTTGTTAATTGAAATCAGTGGGGCTATACAAGTGTGAGGCAAGCTTTTGACTTTATCTATAATGCAGCCACTGTTATAACCATCTTACATTTGGGCATATCTCTGAGAGTTTTAGCTTAAACAGCTCTGATGAAGGTAAAGTTAGGCAAAAAAAATGCCTGTACTTGCTCATGAATTACAAGTTTTAAATACCCTCCCTCAAAAGAGCGAGTGGCGGGGTTGGGTGCCTGGTGCTGGGATCCACGGCGTCCTATGGGAATGCTGTAACCACACATCTCCGTGGCAAAAGTGGTGAGAAGTAACATATTACAGTCATTTCTGCAGGCAGCCTTTGAGAATATCTACTGTACCAGGTCTTGCAAAGCGAAATAGGGATAAGAGCCTAGTTTGTGCATTCAGCAGATTTTATGTCAAATTGCAAAACAGGTTTTATGTGTCTCCAAGGTTTAATGTCACCTGAACAAGTATCTTGGTGATTTCAACTTTGCACAGGGGTGCCAGCAGAGGTGATGCAAATATAACTGAAGCAAGGGCAGGAATCACTGTCATAGGATCTCGGCAGGCGAGTCATATTCTAGCCAGAATAGAAAAGTAAAAGCCATTCAAAGTTACCTTTTTCCATCTTGCTGATTAAAACTGTACAGTCTGGCTTTCCCTGAAGGGTGTTCCACTTCCTTGTGTTACTCTTTCATTTTTGACTCTCAATTTTTCCTCTCTTTAATTTCTAAAGAGAAAAATGCCCTGCTGTCTGGTCTCTGGTAGTTTGTTTCACAGTTTGTGGTGGCCTCTCATAAAAGTTAGGTGGTGTTCATAGCATTTGTGCCTCATTGTCTTTTCTCCTTTGAAGCTTTACCCATTAAAATGAAGACTTGCACGGTGTGAGGACTGGTCCTTTGTCCCTTGCTACTTGCTGACTGCCTGGTTGCGGAGAGCTCTGAAAGTGTAGGCTTTCATTCCAATGAAATCTATTTTCTGGGACCATGACATTTTCTCCTTGCAGGGAAGTGCTGCGTAGCCAAGTTTATTTTTATTTATGTAATCTAACAATTTGAAATACAAGAGTAGTCTAAGCCTTACTTCAGCTGACATTCTTTTTAAAAGTAGGGTGCAACTGAGGTAAGTTAATGGGCAGTCATATTTGATATTTCTCAGCCTTGTCTCCTTTGAACGGATTTAGTGTCTTTGATTCCCATCTTTCCTTTATTATAGCTGTAAGGTTTCTAACTCAACTTATCGCAGGGGCCCTATGAAAAAAGTCCATTATTAAAGGAGGTAATGATTACAGACAAAATGGTGAGTACAGCAACTATGATAAGTGGCAACAAAGATTGTAGTAAAGCCTAGTTTTTACACAAGCTGTTCCTTTCTAAGAGGTATTTTGCATGTATGCAGCACAGGTGACTTGGTTTATCTCTTGTGAAACGTGATAAAGAAAGTAAGTGGTTATTTCTCTGGGACTTATTTCTAATCTGATTCGTCCTTGAATTTCACAGAACTTGGATTTACACTCCTGGGTTTTGCACAGCTGGGCTTTCTGTAGGTGCTCTGGGCTAAACTCCAGGCCCATCAGATGTTTGAAACTGCTCTTTATTCAAATGTGGTGACTGTAGGGATATCTGTTAGAAATCATCCGTCATGCTGTTGTCTTTGAGAACTGTTAATGTGCCATATAGGGAGCTCATTAGTTGTGGAGTAGCCCTTGGCAGTCTGTCAGGTGCTTTGAATCAAATTTTCTTTTGCTGACACTTCTCTGAGTGTTTGCCTAGTTCTGCATCTGTTTAATACTTGGATCTTCCCATATAGGTTTTCATCAGCATTCCACACAAGAAGTTTAAAGGAATTCCTCCAGCACTGTCTGGTCCTTCCTCAGGTTTAATTGCTTTTATTTGAGGTCCTTGGGCTTGCACAGATGCCTTTGAGGTATTCTTCTGCATATTTTCTTTGACTTTAGAAGAGAGAAAATCAAGGGCTTTTTAATTAGTACAGATCCTGTTCTGACCTCTCATTTCCCATTGTAGGTGTCCTTATTATGTTTGATACTGTCTTTTGTCTGTTTTCCAAATCTTTGTTATTTCTCCAGGAAGATGCGAAGTGTTGACTGTGCAGATAATTGCATCCAGTGCTGCATTTGTGATGTCTCCAGCACTTGGTATGCCACTGTAACAGTCCTTTTGGATTTGAATTTCATCTCATGCTGCATCACAGGCCCTGGCTCCTTTTCTGTTTCCCACTGAGTGGATGGTTTCAGGTTTCTGCAAGTTATTGCCACAGATTGTTTCTTTGATCAGTGCCTTTTCCGCTTCTGCCTTTGAGATCCTGAAAGGGATGTTACTACATTTTTATACAGTCTACCAATTTATTCCCTGTCTGATAGTGCTGACTAATCCTCCTAAAAGTCTGGGTTTTAATCCATGTATATTATCAGCTAAAATGAATGAATAGAGGATTTTCTGTTTACATAATATCAAAACTAGTGAAAACTTTCAATCACTTAGATTTGCCTCACAGAGCTTCCCACACAATCTTTCTAACAAAAATGGTGTTACACATGGCTGTTTGTTTGGTGTTTGCCTTTGCATAACCATTTACCACACAAACTGTTACACATGCATATGATTTTGTCTTCATTTAAAAATGCAATTTGCAGTATCTTTGCGCTACAAATACAAGGTCAAATGTTTTTTGGTTTTTGTACAAGTAATCCTGTCTGCTTAGTGCTTTTAAGTGTTTGAAGTTTGAACAAATTGAGCACCCAGCTGCTTTCGTGCTCCCCCTCCTAAGCAGAACAGGGGGAGAAAACAAGATGAAAAGCTTGTGGGTTGAGATGAGAACACTCACCAATTAACATCATAGGCAAAACACTTGATTTAGGGAAATTATTTTAGTTTACTGCAGATTAATAGCAGAGTAGGATAGTAAGAATTAAAAACAGAACTACAAACACTTTCCACCCACACCACCCTTCTTCCAAGGCTCAGCTTCACTCCCAACTCTTCTGCCTCTTCTACTCAGAGTGTTGCAGGGTGACAGGGAATGGGGATTGTGGTCAGTTCATAACACTCCATCTCTGCTGCTCCTTCCTCCTCATACTCTTCCCCTACTTCAGTGTGGGGTCCCTCCCATGTGAGACAGTCTTTAATTAGCCGCTCCAGCACAGGTGGTTTCCATGGGGTGCAGTCCTTCAGGAACAGACTGCTCCAATGTTGGTCCCCCATAGGTCACAGGTCCTGCCAGAAAACCTGTTCCTGTGTGGGCTCCTCTCCAAAGGGTGCAGTTCCTGTCAGGAGCCTGCTCCAGCACAGGCTCTCCACAGGGTGCATGTGGGTGTCTGCTCTGCCATGGTCCTCCATGTGCTGTAGGGGAACAACTTGCATTACCATGGTCTCCTCCAGGGGCTGCAAGGGAATCTCTGCTGCGGCACCTGGAGCACCCCTTCCTCCTCCTCCTTCTCTCACCTTGGTGTCTGCAGGGCTGTTTCTCTCGCATTTTCTTATCCCCCTCAGATAAAATGCAGCATTTTTTACTCTTTCTTAAGTAAGTTACCACCAACGTGCCATGGACATCGCTGATGGGCGCAGCTTTAGGCAGGGGTGGATCCATTTTGGAGCTGACTGGAGCTGGCTCTGTCCAACATGGGGGCAGCTCATGGTGTCTTCTCACAGAAGCACCCCTGCAGCCCCCACTCTGCTACCAAAACCTTACTATGTAAACTCAGTACAATTAGATTAGTATATAGTGAGAATTGCACTTTCAGTACATGGGAGAACTCTGTGGGTGAATTCTGACATTGTCCTTCTTTATGGAAACATCTATGTGAGTTTACACACGTTTCCCTGTAGTCTTTCATTGCAAGATGTATTTAGGGGAGAAATTATGTTGTCTGATACTCTACTTTCTGGTTGCAGAAGGTTAACTCTAGAGTACTTTCTAGTAACACCCTTTTGCCCCTCTGTGTTCCTGTGGTAAGGTTCATTAAGCTGCTTGGCCTCAGGGAGGATAACTGTGTGCCTGCAGTCTGAAAGGCACTTTTCTGGCATCCCAAACATTGCCCCTTCTGTGAGTATGTCCCAGGTCACTCCATGTGAGCCAAGGGATCATTGCAGGGTTGTTTATATCCTGTTCTTATAAGACAGAGGGAGAGAAGAGGCAGTTCTTTGTGAAGGGATATTTCATGTTGTGGTCACAGAACAGAGTTGCAAAGTTCTGGCATGAACTGCAACACATAAGTTGTTTACAGTCAGGCTTTGGGAGCTCTTTGTTGGGAAGGGACAGGATTGGGCAGTCAGTGCAGTAAGAGGTAGGCACTGGAAAGCAGAATAGATTTGGTCCTGTATCCATCTAGACATTTTATCTTGTGACATGAATAACTTTTTTCATGTTCCCCAGAGGAATATGGTATTGCTTTACTGTGAATTATCCAAGAAAGTCAAGTAAAAGTGAGTATCTACTTCACAGCACTCGATACTGAATAATTACCAACAGTGAAAATTACGGGAACTCAAAGCTGATTATGATTTCATAGTATTTGGTGGGTTCTGGATAAATACCTTTATCAGTAGACAAGCCAACAGAAACATCTTCTAATTAAGGGGTTTTAGTGCAGTGAAGGCTCTCCCCCACTCCTGTCCTTTACTCTTAATGTCAACGTTCCATATTTTGCAAATATGTCTTTCCAGCCAGTACAGCCTGTAATAATCACTTTGGTTTTTTTATTTAATGAAATGCATTGGCTTTCATTTCTGTTCCTATCTCCTGGCATTAGGTGGAGTGGATTTCTCCTTTGTGCCATTGCAATGCTCCTTGTGATATTTCCCATGTTTACCTTTCCGAAAAAGCTCCCTCCTCGACATAAAAAAAAGAAAAAGAAGAAGAAGATTAACTCTGATGATGTTTCAAGTGATGATGAAGTGATGAAAGAGAAAAGAAATAGCAAACAAAAAGCAGACAGTGCAGTTCCTGCCTCTATGGGATTTGGAAAGAATGTTAAAGGTAAAGTTTGGTTTTAGTTTTGAAATGCTTTACATTTTGGGTACAGGGTCATCTAGGATTGTATGAGTGTACTGAAGGCAGATTTTTGACATCCTGTATTTAATATTATGTTTTGCTGTTGAGATTTTAATAGATGGTCGTCCTTTGAAATTACAAAATGCAGTGATGAGTGTAAGACATCCATTCACTTAAATTATGGAAGTGTTTAATGTGCACCTGTAACAAACAGGTAGACTACTTCCTATGGTTATAGGACCTCTGTTACCAGATACATTTGTGCGCCTTACAATTTCTAACTGTTTAGGCTGTCCTTCCTAGAATAAAGTGCTCTTCTGAAATATTAGTGAAACAAGTAAAAGGAATTCGTGCATTTGTGTGAGTTAATTGAGAAAGGTTATTTGTCCCATAAGGCTTTCCTGGCTGTTTTGTACTGCAAGCTATTTATTTTCAGAAGGCTAGGATGAATGAAACCTGTGCTAAGTTTGTAACAAGAAGACATCAAAAGATTGACAAGTGATAGAGGTTTTTATTTTATTCAAGAAGTAAACTATTTATGTGAAATCTAACAGTAAGTAGTAATCATTGATAAAATGCTGTGAGAAGAAGGGCAGTGTTGTTAAAAATTAATTAATGTGAAACATATACATTTGGAGTTGAACAATACAGGCTTAAGAGTGTCATGAATGGTGTAGGACAAGAACAAATTGCCTTAATACCGTTGTGTTGTCAATGCTGTTGTGTCCTCCTTGGATTCCGTGATATGAATGCTGGTTGTGCCATTTTGTGGTAGCCTGATGAATGCAAAGGGACTTGGAGAAACCATAAAATGTCATTTGTACCATTAGATGTAATTTGAACTCATAACTTTAAGTTGTTGTCATGAACATTAGTGTTACTTTTTCATTGAATATCAGTCTAGGATTTAATGATTGGTGGATTTTTAAAGACACTTTTATGATCACTCTTTATATTCAGTAGATAAGGCTTAGCAAAACCGATGGGCTGGTTTTAGACTAAAACTAGGGTAATTCTAAGTAATGTTTGCCCCCATGCATATTGATTTGCTCTACATTGCATTTACATCTGTACTCTCAAGGTACCTAAAGTTACTGTTAATTTCTATGGAAGTAAAGGGAAAACAGGAGACCAGAATTTGCTTGTGGTGATTTTATTACCTTACAAACCAGCATCTTAATCAAGGCGCAGAGCAAGCAAGGTAAACCTGCATCAGATCTTTCAGAACCATGTTCTTCCTTTGTTTGCAAAGTAGCTAAAACAGCAGAGGAGAAGCAAGAAAAGCATATTGTCTAATTCCTTCTTTGAAGACTCTCTAATCACCATATTTGTGAGTCCCCATACATCATGTTTTCTTCTACATCCATGAAGCTAGTAGTGGGGTTTTTTGGCCTTCAAACCTGCTGGCCTCTGGTTAGCAAAAGTAGTTCAGGGCTACTCCTGTCAAGGTTTTCTCACTAACTTAGGGAAGTGGGAAATGGGAGTTCAGTCTTTGCTAGGCTCCTTCCTAATCATTGCAGGCGCTGTCACAGCAGAGGGACTGCTTCATCCTGTTGGTGTGCCTGGAAGAGATGCAGGTATTTCAGACAAACTCTGTATCTGGATGAGTTTGCTGATGGTGGTTCTCTGTTTCTGTACATCATTTCACCTCCCAGGTCATGTTGTGTCACTACAGGCACAGCAGATGCACAGAGAAAAAGTATTCTCTTAGGAGAATGTTTCCTAATTTTCACAATAATGAAAACTTCTGTGTGTCTTGTGTGTTTCTTTCATACGTATCTGCCTAAATGTATACCATACCTTCTACAAAATCCTATATTAATATGTTAACAGAGCTACCAAATTAGAGCTTTTCATATACAAAACTTTTCATTTACTCTAGAGGAGAAGCTTGGCCATGTGAAACAGTGAAAAGCAGCATTGTATTCCCCATATCAGAAAGATACCAAGTGAGTCAAGATAACACAGAGGAAAGTATTTTGCTGTAAGTTGATAATAGCTTTCCCATTAGATGTCATTTACCCTAGCAAAGAGGGCCTGCGGCAGG